GCAGAACTGATAAAAATATTGCAAAAATGCATTAAATTTTGAGTCAAAATTGTTGGCTGACTGTGAGAAACACAGCAGACTAAGTAAGCATCAATAGACAAACAGGAAAATCTTTTTTTTTTTTTGAGGAAGAAAAAATTTTAAATGAAAATCTTGCCATGAGACAGGTATGTGCAAAAACAGTCTGAAGGAGCTCTTGTATTATGACAACGCATCGGCTCACGTAGCACTGTCTGTGAGGGTGTTTTTAGTGAGTAAACCAATAACGATGTTGGAACCCTCTTCCTACTCAACTGATCTGGCCCCCAATGACTTTTTTCTTTACCTGAAGATGAAGGAAACACTGAAAGGAGGACATCTGATGGAATTCAGGACATCAAGGGCAATACGACAACAACTCTGATGGCCACACCGGAAAAAAAGTTCCAAAATTGCTTTGATGAGTAGACCAGGTGCTGGTGTCGGTACATAGCTTCCCAAGAGTAGTACTTCAAAGGTGACTGTAGTGATATTCAGCAATGAGGTATACAGCATTTTTTCTAGGATGAGTTCACAAACTTAACTGTCAGCCCACATTCATCCTCTTCTCTCTATGTCCTTTCAGTAACTGTTAAGGTCATCATTAACTTTTGCCTGGGTTAGTACACTAGCCTCTAAACACTGGCCCTGAGGATGTCCACTTCTTCCTTAGATGGCACAGGGCATCCAGAGTTATGCCATACCCTAAATAACCAAAAGGTCTGGACGAAACACATAACACAACAGCTTCAAGACAATGGACAGCAGATGATGAAGAACTAGCTCTCTGAGAGAAAACACAAACGCAGGAGCCCTACTGCCTGCTCCCCACTCTGCTGCCCGGGAGCGTTTCCAGGTTGTGGCCAAGGCAGGGAGCACCCACATGACGTTCACAGACTCCCTGCATTCAGGATAGAGCTGGGATGCTCAGGAGACCAAGGAATCCCAGCCTTGAGAACTCCAGAGATCAGCAGAGGGCAGCCCTTGCATATCAGCAGAGTACTGAGCTGAGCCCACGAGAAAACTACCCAAGGTAGGCAAAAAGCACCCAGAAAGATTACAGGGAACACAGCACATGAAACAGTGTCTATTCCCACAGGCCAGACTGGAAAACCTGATAATCCCTGTGGCAATAAGTCGAGTACTCAGTGTGTCTTATCTCCATAGTAGGGAATAATTAGCATTAGACTAAACATGGTGCCCATCTCACATCACAAATATTAGAAATAAGACACAATTGGATCACTCTGAGTCCAAAAGTAACCTAACTGCATTCCAGAACAAATCTCCAGAATAATTACAGAAATACAAAATTACCTAGTACCCACCAAGGTAGGATTCACAACGTCTGATATACAACCAAAAATTGCCAAGCATGCAAAGAAACAGAAGAATATGACTGTTAATAAGGAGAAAAAGTAATCAACAAAATGGACCCAGAACTGAGACAGAATATAGAATTAGCAGGTAAGAACATAATAAAAGTGTTTATAACTGTATTCCAAATGACAGTAAAAAGTTAAGACAAGACATGGCAGATATAAAAACAACCCAAATTAAACTTCTACAGGTGAAAAATACAAGATCTGAGATGAAAAATGCACCGAATGGGATTAATAAAGACTATCATCTATTGAAGACAGAGCAACAGAAGCTATCTAGAATGAAGCATACAAAGAAAAGAGGATATAAAACAAACAGCAACACCGAGATCAAGACAAGTAAATGTGAGTCCCCAAAGGCCAGGAGAAGGGGGCCCAGAAAAAAATACCTGAAGAAATAATGGCTGAAGAGTTCCCCGTGTGGCAAAGCTATAAGCCTACAGATCCAAGAATGAACCTGTCAGTGAATCCCAAGGACAGGGAACATAAAGAAAACCATTCCGAGGCACTGCCCAACCCTACTGCCCAGAACCAGTGACAGCAGGTGTCCGAGAAGCAGTCATGTGACGAGCAGAGGAACAAGACCAAGGGGTGGCTTTCTTGGGGGGAATAACATGAGAAGCCGAGGAACAACACCCCTAGAGCCCTGGAAGTAAACGCGTCAATGTAGCACTCTACACCCAGAGGAAGTATCTTTTAACAATGGAGGCGAGCACTTTCTCAGCGCACTGAAGGAGCCACGACCTTCGGCCGCAAGGGAAACGCCTCGACCGCGGAACCCGGATCCCAGCCAGGGAAGCGGGAGCGCCAGCAGCAGCGCATGCGCGAAGGCCACGCTCCCGGCGGCGGCGGCGCGCAGAGGGCGCCCTGGCGAGGTAACCCGGAGGACGCTCGCATCGCCTCCCTCCAACCGGGACGACATGCACAAGGCAGCTACCTGAGAACCGAAGAGAAAGCAGCAGCAGCTGCGCGGGGAAGGCAGACACTCGAGCTGCACGGAACCGATGGAGAACCCGTGTCGCCAAGCAGGACTCCCCAGGCCGAGCTGCAGAGCAGGTCGCGGCTGCAGCAGCCGGAGCTCCAGGAGTGGAGGGGACGGGAAACCCACGGCCCGACAGGAGGGAACACCCCAGTACTTGTCTTTTCCTCTTGACCCTGTCATCGCCTTCCCCCGAGTCCCAGAACGGGGCAGCAGCGGACAACGGGAGCTCGCAGGAGACACACGGGAGAAAGGCAACTTCCTTTCTGCTGGAGGAAACGTGGCAGCAAGAGTCAGCGACGCCCATCACGATTTTTTCCTAACTTCTGGCCGCCTGGCGCCACGTCCACGGCCTGAGAAGTGACTCAAGCCTCAGCGCTCTGGTCAGATGACCACCGAGAGGAGGCCCCTCTGTGAAGGCGGGGAACACAATGCAGTTCAAGAAAGGGACCCCCTCAAGCCATTTATTATTACTTGGAGTTACCCCCATGTGTGCAAGCATGAATCCGACCCCATTCAGTGTATTAAAGACTGAAAACTAAACCAACAGTCTGCTGCTCTGGTCCCAGGCTAGTCAGGGGGTGTACATGCTGAGTAGATCAAACAGCATTGACAGGCTTCGAGAAATGAACTGATCTTGCAACCATGAACCACAGAAGGCAGATAGGAACTCAGGTCTGGCTCTGACTGGACCGCCTGCCTGAGAAAGCAAGAGTACCAGCGCTTTCCACAGGACTCAGAGAAGTCCCAGAGCCTTATAAAGTAAATATTCAAATGTCCGGAATATCATTAAAAACACAAGGAGCAAGGCGCAGTGCCTCCCACCTGTAATCCCAACAACTCAGTAGGCTTAGGCAGGAGGGTTGCTTGAGGCCAGCCTGGGCAACATAGCAAGACCCTGTCTCTAAAAAATAAAATTAGCCAGGCATGGTGGCTCATGCCTATAGTCCCAGCAACTTGGGAGATGAGTTGGAGAATCACTTAGGTCCAGGAGTTTGAGGCTGCATTGATCTATAATCACGCCACTGTACCATTCCAGCTTCAGCGACAAAGACCCCCGTCTCCAAAAAGAAAAAAAAATTACTTGGCATAAGAAGAAACAGCAAAATGTTTAACTCTTATGGGAGGAGACAATCAAAAGTCAATACAAATATAACACCGATGTCAGAATTATGTAATAGAAGATGTCAAAACAGCTATGATGAAAATGCTCCAGGAACCAATAATGAGCACTCCCAATAGCAATGGAGAAAGACCAAGTCTGAGAAAACAAAAGTACAAAAGAAAATGATATGGAACCCAACCTCAGTGTCCAGAAGTAAACTTTTATTGGAAACACAGTCACACTCAACGTGTTGCTGCTTGTATGCCATGGCTGTCAGAGCGGAGAAGGCACTAACAACTCCACAGGGCTGCAAAGCCTAAATATTCACTATTCGGCCACTTAAAGAAAACACTGCTGACCTCTGCTTTGAAGACTCCCCTCTGCCCGTGGACTGAGTCCACACACTGGACCGTGCAGGCTCTGGCCTTGCTGATCTCCCCAAGGGTTCTAGGGTTGTTCTCGGTCCTGAGTCTGAACCCAGAACCCATTCTGACTTCTGTCTGCTGCCCTGAGCGTCAAGCTCCCCGACTGAAGCTTGGCCTGACAGGAGCTTGACGCTGTCAAGCCAAGCTTCAGTCCTTCTCTCCCAAGGACCTCTGGCCTAGCTAACCACTTCTTTTCCCTCAGCAAGTCACATTTTCCAAAAGTTCTTTTCTTGATGCTCCCAAGACTGACAGACGCTCCCAAGACTGACTGACTGACGCTCCCACTCATACTCCTGCAGCGGCTTCTGATTACTGTAGCATAACTTATCATCGGCTCTACTGACTTTTTTCCTTGCCTCCCTTTCCACGAGATGCTAAGTTCCTTAACATGATCATATTCCCACTGCTTGGGAGTGCATGGTGTATAGGACCCAAGAAAGAATGCTGAATAAATAAACAAAATAAATGCTACTGAGGCACTGGGCTTTTCTCTAATGCAAGAAAAAATTCTCAAAAACAAAAACAAAAAACTACAAAAAACCAACAACTTAAAAAATTATTTCAAATCAGACCTGTGCATGGCAGACTTTCCCCTTTAGAATGTAAGCCCCACAAGAGCCATGTTTCTGTCTGGTTCACAGCTGTATTTCCAGTGCTAAGGACCATGTAAGAAAACAGTAGGTTCTCGTAATCATCATTGAACGAATGCTCATGAAGTCAGATCTTCTCCATGCCCTGCTGGATGCCTGAGGGATGCTTGTGAGGTTTTACCAAAATTTACAACTCTGGTTCTCATAAAAGATTATTCTAGTAACAGATGTCACAAATATGGTGTAGAGAGTGATGGTAACACAATTTGCATGTGTACGGTCAGTTCCCTCCCTCACACCACACACTTCTGTAGCAAAGTCCTTGCTGTGACGTCTGAATGGTACTCTCCATTCTTCCCATTTCCTAGGGAAGGGAGACACTTCTACGTCCCCAGAAGAAAACACACGGACTCCCGCCAGCCTCTCTCATTCCCCCAGTGCGGCCAATCTACATGTGGACATGTGCTAGCCCAAGTAGGACATTACCCTTTCTGCACTCACTTGCAGTGACACTGAAGGACGAGTCCAGTGTTGATGTCTCCAGAGGGATCACAAGCTGACCTCCTGGTTCCCACTTCTTGCGCTCAGAGGAAATGGCTTTTTCTTCTTCCAGCTCTTTAGCATCTTCACAGACAACTGTCTCGCAAGTGTCAGACTGATGCTGCTTTACCTTTTCATCTTCTTGAGCTTTAAGATTTTCATTTAATCTACGCAATATTTCTCGCTTACTCTGAAAGTTATAATGCTATACTTTAATATGTATATGATTAAGTAAAATGACAGAGAAACTTTGAAAACTGTACTTACTGAAATAGCATTGTTGGTCCTCTGCATTTCTTCTGAGGTCTCCTGGATATAGGCTAAACTGTCCTTTAAACACAGATAGTTACAGAGTAAGCAACATTGCTATTTCAGAAGTCTGCCTTTAAAAATCTGATATTTGTGTTACTTTTTGCTTTTCATTAAATTGTTCCTTGTGAATTTTTTATTCCTGTAAAAGTTAATACAGCTTACTTCATTATCAGAAATGATACACATTTAAATATTATTAATATACTTAATATGTAGATGGATCAATTCTCAATTAATTGTCATATTTTTGGATTACTGTTCACATAATCATGTTCTTTTCCTCTTTGGCATTTGATTTTTTGGGTAATTTTTGGTTTGTTTTGTTTTTTTTTGAGTTGGAGTCTCACTCTGTCACCCAGACTGGAGTGCAGTTGCCACTCCTGGCCATTGCAGCCTCGACCTGCTGGGCACCTGAGATCCTTCTGCCTCAGCCTTCCAAGTAGCTGGAACTACAGGCATGCACTACCACGCCTAGTTAATTTTTGATTTATTGTAGAGATGAGGTCTCGCCAAGTTGCCCAGGCGGGTCTCGAACCCGCGGGCTCAGGCAATCCACTCACCTCAGCCTCCCAAAGCACTGGGATTACAGGCTGAGCCACCGAGCCTGGCCTTTCTGGTAATTTTAAGACATTGATAGAAATAAAAGGAAAATTCACAGTCTTTTAATTAGCACGAGGAAAAGTTTTGATGGATACAGTAATTCAAGATAGGCTGTGTTATTCTAAAACTGTCTTTATGTTTCAAATACAAATATTCTTAAGCCATACTACTAACATAATTGAGAACTGGCTTTCTTCCCTAAACAAAGGGAGTAACAAAAATGAGTTCTGAGTCATTTGTACTACAAATAACATAAATTTCGTCATTTGATTAGTATTATCAAAGCAATCTAGACCACCTGGAATTTTAGAATATATGAAAAGAAGAAATTAACAGTTATGAAGGAAAAGCATCTAGAAGAGTCAAAGTAAGCATGATTTTCAAAGCTCTTAGTAGGTGGCATTTACTAACATAACAGAGAAAGAAAAACCATTTCGTTACATGGATTACCTCAAATTCTGTAATATTTGAAAATAATTAAAAGGAGTTAGGTAGTGAGTTTTAAATATAGGTAAATGAGACAAAGAACATTTTACCCAGTAACAGTCAGGAATTAGCAGTCTACAACCAGAGAGATGAACAGCTACTTGAGATGGGAGCCTGGAAACCAGGAAGGGAACCACACAGTGGTATCTGAAGTTGAAGTAACAACGCAGCACATGCACACTCGTTATCAGAAAGAAAAAGAAAATAAAGCTACTTGAAGAACAAGCGTTTCTAATATGAAGTTCCTAAGATTGAACAAGAAACTTCTATTTCCCTGCTCAGTCTCATTTTCAAAATAAGCACACTGTAAAAAAAAAAAAAAAAAAAAAGCAGTGTACCAATTTTGCCTGCAAAAATTGATCATTCATAGGCACAGACATCAATTACTACGAAAGGATAAAACATGGTTAATGTTTCAAGGTATCAATAGACTTTATTGTCAAGAGACATTATTTTTAACTTTTTATTTGTATAGACAGGGTTGTGCTATGTTGCTCAGGCTGGTCTCAAACTTGTGGCCTCAAGCAATCCTCCTGCCTTGACCTCCCAAAGTGCTGGGATTACTGGAGTGAGCCACTGCACCCAGT